CTCCTTTTCTCCATCTCTCTCCCTCTCTCTCTCTTTCTCTAGCTCTCTCTAATCCCTCTCAGCAACCAAAAAATATTTCAGCCTTAACTACCGTTACCCATTTGATTCTATTTAGGAAATATGTGTTATTTTGTCAATGTCTATAGATTCACGAAGCTTGGAAAATCTTGTGAAATCTTCGAAGCGGACAAATCTTTCAGCTTTAGAACGTACACACAATGTGCTATCTACAATTTTGTTGTCCTCAATCTTATCTTACCACTTCTTGCGTTTTGTTGACCGGTTGGATTTGGCATTAACAAAGAAGCAAAACTTGTCCTCGTTGACAGCCCTACATTACAGTAGCTATCGCCAATGACGTAAAGATGTCACAAAATTGCCTCAAGTTTTCATTTCGAAGCAAAGTTTGGGTGGAGGCGATTCGTGCTTTAGGGCTTGGTGAAACCTTCCTGAAAAATAGTTTCATGCACTGACGATTTGTGGGACTGCAGAGCAGACGGAATCGGAGCACGAACAGTTCGGGGCAACAGGACGATGTGGCACAAGTTAAGAGTTACGACAACAAGACGATAGCTAGAATGTGTAAAAGAAGATGAGTTAAGTTCTTCGAGGTCGCTCTGACAACACGACCACGTTGTGAAAACGAGGTCAGACCAAACATCCTCTGTTGACTGGTGCGAGCAATTTGCCAAATCTTCCTCTTCAAAGCTCCACTTGAAGGTTGCATTTTCAGCAGTGAAACCTAGAAACATGCCTCACAATACTATCGAATCGTCCCCAATATTGGCTTTCCCCAGACGGGATTCGAACCTGGCGATATGGAAAAGTCATTTATCGTACGACAAATAACATATTTCGTGAATGGTCGGGTCGCCAATTGCAGCGACTAACCGAGTACCAGGGCTTCTTCCCTATTCCACAGCCTTCGTTTCGATGAAATTTGGAGCATCAAATGGAAAGTGCAATGTATTTACTCATTGGCCGAACGGTAGTCAGGTTCGAACCCCGCGTGAGGCGAAGCCTCATTCTTTCATTTCATCTTCTACGACTATGAAGCTCCAGACCTTCCGTCGGTCTTGCTTTGAAAGACTGGTCTTAATCAAAGTCTTTCTTTGGAAGGCAGGACTACTTCAAAGGTGCATCAAAGTTCACTTGTATTGTGTACTTCTCGTGGTTGCCATGACTCTCATTTGCCGCATTCGTTCGGCGATACAGAAAGGCAAAAACTGAGCTTTTTATGTGTTTTTTGACACTTTTAGACGTAGTTGATGAGGGGCGGGGGTTCAGTTGGCAACATTGAAATGGTCCAGCCGCTGTGTTCGTTTGACCCTCCGACTTATTTCAATGCGCGGCCTCGAGTGGTACAGGTTGGAAAGACCACAGAACGATTGCATTTCTCGCACGAGTTCCGCTTTTCTGGTCTCTGATTAAAGGCAATTGGCTCTTTTCTTCTGGCAATCTTTGTAGAGTATTTTGTGGGCCTTCAAACTGTTTCATACTATCTTCAATAGGATTATGCTTCAAAAATGTTAGTACAGCTTGAATAAGAAGGTCGCCTAAGCCTAATTAGGGATGGATAATAGAGTTGTTCCCACAATGAGATGTCCGTCCATTTGACCGAAACTGGTCTCACGAAGAGATTTCGCAAGCAGGCTCGATTGCCGGTTTCAGCGCGACTGAGTTGCATCAACACCTCAACGGAATTCGAAAGAGGGGCCCACACCGCCTGACGACACTGTTTCCCCATGCGGCTTAGCAACGGGTGCTAAGTCATCGAGTGGCGTTACAAATACATGTTTGTTTTTACCTAAAATACCACATGTAAG